GGGGGGATGGGTTAGCCTGGTGATGGGTATTAAAGAGGGCACATTCTGCGTGGAGCACTGGGTGATATACGCAAACAATGAATCATGGAATACTACATCAAAAACTAATGTAATGTATGGTGATTAACATAATAAAATAAAAAAATTAAAAAAAGCTTTAGAGTATATCCTTCTAGGCAGGTATAGGAAATGACTGGGTCTCAAAGCCACTTGAACTAATTCCATTCTGTATGGTTATGCCACCAACCTGCTGTCGAGTCAGGTTTAATTGTTTCATTCCTCCCCACCTCTCAATTTTTCATGACAACCTTTTTAACGTTTAATTTTGTTACACTTTTGTGAACTATTTAGAAGGCACCAAAGTCAAATCTACAAAACAAGATACATTCAAAGAGGTCTAGCTTCTATCCCTGCCCTCCACCATGTTTCCTCTTCTCCACATAAGTGTGGGCATGTATCTGTATCAGTCAGGGTTCTCCAGGGAAATAGAAAAGGATGTGTGTGTGTGTGTGTGTGTGTGTGTGTGTACACACACACTCATTTTGAGGAACTGGCTTCAGCAACTGTGGAGGCTGATAAGTTTCAAGATCTGCAGTTAGCAAGCTAGAAACCCATCTTAATAAAAAAAATCATACACACACACACAACTTTTACCAATTTATTCCTACATTTTCCCAAACACATTGTCAGATTAAAAAAAAAAAAAGCCCAACATACACATAAAGGCAAAATTCCTTAAAAGGTCATTGACCACTGGTTGGAGAAAGAGTTGCAAAGTTGTTTTGCAACGTGTCCTTATCCACACAGACGTGGTTCTGGTGTGCAATTTTATGCACTGCACACAATCTTATTTTGGTGTGATCTTGAAGAAATGGGTTTGAGGTATAGGCTTTGGGGTGAATCCCAAGAAGGAAAATGTTACTATAATTATGTTAAATGTCAAAATATCCTAAAGAGCTAACTTTAAAAGTACTTTAAATGTTTCTTTTCCATGCAGTAACTTTATTCATCATATTGTACACCTAAAACTAATGTAACACAATGTTAACTAACTGGAATTAAAATAAAAACTGTAAAAAAGATAAATAAAAATCTATCATCAAAAAAAAATAAAAATTGAAAAATGTGAATGAAAATTCCAGGTTTTCAGCTTCTTGTGAAACGGGAGGCGCTGGGAACTCTGAGCCTGCCTTCTCACGTGGCCACCATGGACTGGAGGCAAAAGCTGCTCCCCTCGGTGACTCGATGAACCATACGCTCTTCAGTTCGCCAGTTCCCACCCAGCCTAACTCACGAAATTACATTTCCGCAGACTCCTGAAGTCTCTCACTGGAGTCTCCCATTTCTTCTCTCTGGCACTGCCATGTGCTCTGTACATCAATACGTGCAGACAGACACCACACTGGGGGTACTGAATGACCAAGTGGGAAATGGGCACTTTTCCCCAAACCTCCTCCATCACAGCACTTCAGCCTGTGCATGAGAACCAATTTTTCAGGTCAATATTGTCCTTTCAGAGATAGCATGCCATCTGTATTTTTCTATTTTTGGTCCTTGTGGGGACAGCTCTGCCAAAAGGGCCCCAGAGGGGGCATTCAGATCCAGTGTGAGAAGCAGTGGGCTGGAAGGTATGTTCATATAAAACTAGCAGCAGGTAGACTCCACAACAAAAGGAAAAAAGAACAAGCAAATATCCACCCAACCCTTCCCCCCATGCCCACCCCCCAAAGGATATGTCAATGATCTTGTTTTGGATTATTCCTGATGATTTGTGTTAGCTGGAGAAGCAGAACTTTTCATAGAAACACATCTATAAACTGACATATCTGGTTTGTTTGTGTGATATGTGGTTATAAAATAAATAAGAACTGCTAAAAATTCTTACATAAGATTATATTTGGGGTGATTAGTAAGCCTATTTCAAATAAAATATATGTCCCTCACCTCTTATAGTATACAGATCCATTATCCATAACATTTACTGATGGCTTACCAGGTGCTCATTACTATACTCTGTGCTTTTCATCTTCTTAATTGTTACTGAAAACTACCATGTTACTTCTTGAATGTAATCATAACAAAATAATCCTATAAATGTGAAATTATTTGGCTATAGAGTTGTTTATCACCATGCCACTTATGAGAAAAAAATTAAAATTTAAAAAACTACCTAAAAATTTCATGTTAAAATAACTGAATACGATATAATAGAACATAATGTGGTCCTGTAGAGGAATAAGAACATAGGCAAATGTGCATAATCCATTATTAATGAAATAATTAATAAAGAAATATATATGTATATTTTATGCCATTTTAAAAAACATGTTATTTATTTATTTACTTACTTACTTACTTACTTATAGAGCATGAGCGAAGGGAGGGGCAGAGGGACAGGGAGGCAGAGAATCTCAAGCAGACTCCACACTGATATGGAATCCCCCAGTCCCAAGATCATGACCCCAGCCAAAATCAAGAGTCAGACGCCGAATGGATTGAGCCACCCAGGCACCTGTTTTTTATGCCATTTTTATACAACTATATGCAAATATTCATACACACGCATACATATATGCATATAAGAAAAATTCTGGGACAAATTTCATAGGGGGAATTCTGGAAAGAAATATACTTATAAGT